GAATATATTTTGCAGAGGATTGTGCGGCCAGCCGGAGAGTCTTCAACACGTCCTTCAACATTGCTCGTTAACCCATGACGCCAGATGCTTCCGGCACAATACCATCCTGCGCATCATCACCAAAAAGCTGCAAAAGAAGGGTTATAAATTTCTAGTGGAGCCCATCATCCCTACCAAAAACACCTTTTGCAAGCGGGACATCATCCTTATCGATAATAACTGTGCATACGTCATTGATCTGACCGTTACTGATGAGCTCAACCTCTACAAAAGTCGCTTGTTAAAAATCTCCAAATACAGCGAAACTTCCATTGAGAAGAGCATCAGCAACTATCTTCATGCCAATGATTTCAATTTCAAGTCAATTGTACATGCACCAGTAGCTGTCTCTTTCCGGGGCATAATGCACCCGCTATCTTCGAAGTCCTTATCACGCTTCCGATTTTCTAAATTAGATATTACCGACATTTGCCTATCGTCATTAATAAACTCTCAAAAATCTATGAAACTTATATGAGAGGCACCAAACCCTCCTAACTTTCTTTTACCTTAACTTTATCTCTTATATTTGTTGGGTGGATACGCCAAACAGTAACCCCTTTAGGGGTTACAGATTTGTACCTTGAATATATAGCGCCCTGTGCGCAATCCCGTTTGGGTCGTTGTACATAGGTGTTTCTATATTAATTTTCAAATATAGAAAGCTAAAAAGGTTTTGTGCCTCTCATATAAGTTTCATAGATTTTTAGAGAGTTTATTAATGACGATAGGCAAATGTCGGTAATATCTAATTTTGAAAGGCGGAAGCGTGATAAAGACTTCGAAGAAAGCGGGTGCATTATGCTCCGAAAGAGACAGCTACTGGTGCATGTACAATTGACTTGAAATTGAAATCATTGGCATGAAGATAGTTGCTGATGCTCTTCTCAATAGAAGTTTCACTGTATTTGGAGATTTTTAACAAGCGACTTTTGTAGAGGTTGAGCTCATCAGTAACGGTCAGATCGATGACGTACGCACAGTTATTATCGATAAGGATGATGTCCCGCTTGCAAAAGGTGTTTTTGGTAGGGATGATGGGCTCCACTAGAAATTTATAACCCTTCTTTTGCAGCTTTTTGGTGATGATGCGCAGGATGGTATTGTGCCGGAAGCATCTGGCGTCATGGGTTAACGAGCAATGTTGAAGGACGTGTTGAAGACTCTCCGGCTGACCGCACAATCCTCTGCAAAATATATTCTCGGGTTGTCGACCGCCTCTTGCAAGGCAGACTTTCGTGCTAAGGAGACCTCCTCTGAGTTGAATACCGCGGATGTACGCCCGTGGGAATACTCTGGCCGGGTTGCGTAGCCAATCCGATGCTTCTTTGCATTTGTCAGCATCACGAAGACCTTTGCCGTCTAGGGTGTCGTAACAGCAGATTCTTCCGAGGAGTCGATGGTTTCGTTGTGGACTTTGATGGGCATATTGGATATTCGGAGGAGGGATATAAAGTGTTCCGAGGCTGCGGCCCATCTAACACACGGTGTTTCTGACGAAAGTATCTTCTCGTCCCTTTTACGTCTGTTGAGTGGGATCATTGATGATAGGTGTGGAATTCCAAGACCGCCATCTTTAATTGGTGTGTGGAAGTAGGCCACTGGGGTGTCTTTAGGAAGATGCACCCATCGACGAATGGCGGCGCGTATCATTCGATCCAAGGATTGTAGCGTCTTCTTATGGACAACACCAAGAGTAAGGCTATATTGCAACCTGGGAATGATAGCTTGCCTCACCATATGGATTCGCTGTTGCGGCTTTAGAGGTGCAGCCGAGACGTTGTCGATAAAACCATGAAGAATTTCAGAATATTTAATGGGCAATCTGCCCTTGGAGTTAAACGGAATTCCCAGGTAGTTAAAGCTGTCAGAGACTCTCATGCTTGGAATGGGTGTAGAGTTTATTTTGAAAACTTCAGGCGAGAGCGCCACAATTTTTGATTTTCCACTCGCTAGCAGGTTGATGGTTCTGCTTTTGGAGGGATTGATAGTGAGACCTGCAAGGTTAAGGTGCTCAGAGAGGATATCCAGTTTCGTTTGTAAGGCAGCTGCGTCACGTGCTGTCAGTATGAGATCGTCTGCGTAGGCTATATAATTGACTTTATGTTCGCCTAGGCAGAACGGTGATTCCTGATCAATCGATGTTAGCGCTTCATCAAGTGCCATGATGAATAGCAGTGGGGATAGTGGGTCACCTTGCTTGACACCACTCTGCGGGGCGCAGGAGACGTTGTTGAAGATAGATGTTGATTGTGCGTAGAATGAAGACAGATATCTGCACAGAATCTCTGGAGCTCCGAATCTCTTAGCCGCCCGAAGGATTGTATCGTGCGAAATACTATCGAAAGCCGCCTTGGAGACATCCAGAATGGCCATGGCACATCCTTTGTGTTTCGTCTGGGATTCTCGAAGTATTGCGTGCAGGAGATTAACCGCTTCGAAGCAGCCGTCTTTGCGTAGAAACACAAATTGATTTTTCCACTTGGGAATAACTGCGTCCATCCATCTGTTGGCCAGAATTTTGTGGAAGCATCTGGTGATGGATGGGATGATGGAAATTGACCGGAAATCTGATGGTGAGTCCGGAAAGTCGACTTTTGGGATGAATGTGACCCTGGCCGTAGCCAGGTTCTTCGGCGAATGTGATGTTAGCAGTAGGGTGTTGAGATATCCTGCAATAACATCAGACTTGCTCTTTAATAAGTCAGCAGCATATAGGCGATCTACTCCGCAAGCGGAGTTTTTCATTTCCTGGAGGGCCCAGGTAATGTCACTGGGCAAAATTGGAGCGACCAGTGATTCGCTTTCCGGAACTATTGGGCTAATCTCCCTAGAATAATCAGGTGACGATGATTTCTGGAAGATATTTGACCAGTAGGAATTAAAACCGGCCGGGGATGGAGGATGGATTGATGGTATGTGGCTCTTTCCATCTGCCATCGAGTACTGTTGCAGCAGCATCCTTGGGGCTTTTTGAGAAAAGCGATTGGATGTGCGCATAAAGAATTTTCCGTCTTTGTTTCCTATTCATTTTCTCAAAGTTCTCTATGTGGTGGTATCGTGCCTTAGAAGGCAGCCATTTATTGGGGAAAACTTCGTTAGCATGCTGTTCAAGGAATTGTCTAAGGGGTGGGTTCTAGAGAGATATCTCCAAAGGCATATTCCTGAATTTTCGCTAGGACATTCGAAGGTTGGATTAGTGCACAATCGTGCCTCAACCGTTCGACAATTTTGGTGAGGTAAAAGATATTACTGTAGAAAATAATCATTTTTTCCTACTGAAGCCTCCCTGTCCCGCTGTTGATGATACTGTTAGTAATGACTGCTAGCTACCTATATCATGGCATACCCATTGATGATGCGGTGCTAATGGTGTTAGCCAACACTATCAGATCGTCCGCATATGCCAGGGAGTCTACCTTAGTTGAGCCAGAATGCAATAGACAGTTGACAAACTTATACTTCTGTTTCAAAAGCCTGAAGAAGAAGATGACGGAGAGGAAGAAATATCATCACGTCTCTTGCGATGAAACTCTGTCGCATATCCACTGAATATACTTTGAGTTAAGGGGCATTCCAGTCCTTCAGAAACACTAGCCAAAAATGGTCATTCATCCCCCTGCATCAATAAACACAATGAGAAAGATTAATGCTCCACGAAACCTGGATGTGCTGAAAAAACGTCAGCTAATTGCACATCTAAACTGCAATGATTGTAAGTTCTTTGAAGCTGTCTGTCGTGAACAGTCCAAAGAAGAATATTCTTTGCTGTACTTCTAACGCATTGCTGTTGTTGTCAGTCAGACTCAACTCTATCTAGAGGATTTCGTTTACATCTTCTATGCAATTGATGAAGCTGTTAACATTCGTAAAGAAAAGCCTAAACTTTGTGTTTGAAAATGTTTTATGCTCTCTCCCTCTCCCTCCCTCTCTCTTTTTGACTGTCATGACGTGTCAGTTTTATTGATTTTTGAATTTGTTGCAGAATAAACTGTGTAGTTTATTTCGTGACTAATTTTTAACTCTATGTACTCCGGTTGTCTGTCAGTTATTTCGAATCAACTATATTCATCAATATGTTGTAACAAGAGAAGACAAGGGCCAGGCAACAGAACAGATCGTTTATTTAGGAAATTAACAGATATTTATAGATTTTCATGTACAATATTATTATAGATTATTGTAAGCAAACAAACACAGTCTTCTGATTGGTGGATTCTCGCTGACGTAAATTACTGTCTACGAATTTGGCTAGCGGCCAGCTCTCACCACAATGTAACTTGGCTGGCTAGTTGTTAATTTTCTCGATTCTCTGATGATTATTCATATTGAATTGGTTTTGTTGCTATCTGGTAGTAAGCTTCGACCTTTGTTAATAAACAAAATTGTACGTTGAACAACAGGTCGAACTCGCTGATGACATTGGTTAGTCCCAATTGCGCTATATCGTGAATTGGCAGAAGTTGGAATTCATGGGCTGACCATTGGATTGGGTCACCGTGGCCTAATGGTCTACGAGCTAACTCGCCTTTTAACCAGAAGGCGCTGGGTTCAAATCCTGGTGGTGGGTGCATGCTGACTGCTGAAGAGTTCCAAACTAAGCTGACGAAACAACTGGCTGTCCAGTACTCCCTGGTGGTTCTCTAATCGATGCCAGCTCATTCTGAAACCCTGTAACCAATCAAATTCCTGCAAACCAACACTTGGAAACACCTAAATAGCTAGCTGTACAGATAGAGAAGTTGTGAAATGAGATCTCCATTTTTTGCTGACTTACGAATGGTTACTTTTGGAACTAAAAATGATGAATCGAAGATAAGATAGGATAAGATAAGACAGTTTGCTGAACACATTATCGATTGATTTTTGTTGTTGTTGTTGTTGTAGCTGCTCAGCTACTCAGTGTTCATCGTTCTAGATGCTTTTTGTCCCTGTTCATTCATTTCACAATTTTGTTTTAGACAGCGGTGATGTTACAAAAATTGATGATTACTGCCACCACCACCTATACCTTGAACCGTGTGGATTTCGTAATGTTAGAAATTCGTGTTTTCTCAATGCTTCACTACAGCTGTTACTGAATATTCCACCTTTATGTACAGCTGTAAACAAATACACGAATGTGTCGATCAATAATGATGATGATGATGGTGTATCGGACACCAATGACAACAAGAAGACACCATTAATCAATCAATTGTAAGTGATAAAATATTGACTCTTTTTGCATTTGTTTATATTGGACATGACAGTGCTGGAAATCTCCCCCCCACACACACACACACACACCAGTAATATCCAACACTCAATAACTAAATATAAGATAATCAGTATAATGAAGGAGTCTCAAATGTGCGTGCGTGTGTGTATGAGTACATTCCAGGATTTATGAAAGTTCGAAACTTGTTTGACTAATTTATATGTAATAAATGGGTAGGAAAGTTCCAGAATAATTTCTGGTCAGGGGTCAGATTAATGGAATTACAATTAGGAATTAAAATGCCCTAATAAACAGGTGGGGGGGGGACGAATAAAGCTCAGACAAAGTAGCATCATAATTACTGAGAAGATTGACATTGATTGTGCAATTGGTGGTTAGAAATGTAGAAATAACAAAATAGATAGACAGGATGTTTGGATAACAAAATCTAGTGGGATCATAACTAATGTGACGAATAATTGTTAATGCAGTTAGGGATTAAATATGTAGAAGTAATAAAATGACAAAATAGACAGGCAGTTCGGATATGAAAATCTGGTTATTGTAAATAGGGATTAAGAAAAATATTTATAGAAAACCTATCTGGACAGGACAGTATCTTAATTACCACAGTTTCTGCCATGTTCGGTACAAAAGAGCCTCAGTGAGCGAGGTGGCTCTTCAGTAGAATCCAACGAATATGCACTGAAGACAGACACACTTGATGAAGAAGAAAGAATGTTGACACAAACTCTGGTTGATAACAATTATCCAGACAAGTTCATCAGGAGATATAAGGTAGTCAGATCTCCGACTCGCCCCTAAGAAAGACGTGTACATCAAGCTACCCTATATTGATCATGAAAGCAGCTTGATAACTAGACAAAGACTGAACGCTGCTGTCAAAAAGACTTTATCCAGCCTATATCATAATAATAGAGAATGTAAAGCCAATATATCTATCTAAGTCCTTTTAATATGTGAAAAATGATGTCACATCCCACTGTATTTACCAATTTGAATGTACGTGTGGACACACATACATAGGGAGGACCCATCGATCTCTGCAAGTAAGGGCTTCAGAGCATATTCCCAAATGGCTCCAGAAACAAATGGAATCTTCAGTACCTATTAATGGTGAGAACAGGAGATCTGGCTCTTCGATTGCGAAGCATATTAATGAGACAGGACATAAAATTAACGTTAACAGATCTTTTAAACCTATCCATAGAGCTTGTTTAAGGCGTATGGCATTGAGATAGTTTAAACCACTTTTATGCATTCAAAAACAATTCGTCATCACATTAACCACCTTCCTTGGTAAATTTTGTTTTGATACCATAGCAGATGTACTATTACCTCTGTTATTCGGTTTAGTGGTCTTCATTGTTATTTTGACCTTCAATATGGTGGCCTTTTAACTTGACCTACCTTGTCTATTTTCTCACCTCTCACCTCTTTATTAATTTCATATATATGAACTCCTATGACAAGTCCGTGTGTGATCAGACTGTTCGAAATGTGTTGCACAAATACAACATAACACGATTCAGAAAAATTACATCTTCTTATTGCTTTATCTAAATTCATAATGGGAAGTAATTGCTTTAGATTATGAAAAACTCAAAAATAACATGAACTTTTAATTTTTCTTTTTACATATTTTCTTTAAATTTTATATTCACCCTATGATAGTATGAGTGACAAATCAATAGGGCAGGAGTTTTCCAGTCACCTTTGTTTGTCTAATTAGCCAATAGGAATTAAAGGTCACTGAATTCTAGAAAAATAGGGCTATTAATTTAGCGCACTTGCATGCGACTGTTAGTTGACCTAATGGTGATGTGCAGAGAGAACGTATGCAAGCCGGGCGAACGCAGCATGGATGACTCAACGTTTGTATGGCACGGAACGATACACACGACATTTACAGCAAGATTTCAACGTCATGAAGCCTATGGTGGCTTCGAAAACAATGCAAAAAACGCTAAGTGAGTTCCCTTGGGTTTCTACTAATAAACTTTTATAAGTAGTTTAGAGAATTAGGCTGAAATCTTAGTTTTATGCTTACTATGCTAGAGTATTTTTGACTTATGGTGATAATTTTTCTTAGAAAGTCCAAAGCCCAAGAGTGTTTCATACCAATCGATAGCTCTCATTGAGACCTACTTTTTGGTACAAGTCACGACAGCGTACGGCTCTTCCTTGGCCAACTAGAATTTTTTGAAATCCAGGGGGATACATTATTCTTTTTAGCTCGGAGACAGCGCTGCTGGCTCTTTCTGTCACCACTAGCTCCGAATCATCAAGGTGTATGCCAACATCCAGGTAGTCAGCAGGCAGCATCCACCAGATCATCAACAATTAGACATTCAGGGGGGCAGGGACCACTTAGCAGGGAAAACTTGATTATTTTCTACAGGAATAGCTCTTACACTCTGGTTTATACACCACTCGTTTCAACTCGACGAGACAAATCGAATGGTTCTGGTCCCGTCCCTATATCACTTACGGTTGCGGATTGACAAGGTTTAGACTATATAAGGGTATCGCTTCTATTTTATTAACTCGAACAATGGTGGAGGCGACGGGGGATTCTCAGTAGGCGTCCATGGGTTCCACAAGCAGGTAAATACGGCATACATACTGCTGAGAACGGCAGACCTGTCTCTGAATCTATCCATTGGATGGTTTAAGGAGATTGAGCTTCCTCACTAAAGGGATTACTACTACTACTACTCCCTTTTCACTAGCTGATTTGTTTAAGCCTGATAAATATTCAGAAACTCTCTAGCACACGGGCCACGATATCAGCAATCACCAAGAGAAGGCCGTCAAAAATTTCAATGTGTCTCACCCCACTCAAAACTCAAGTTCCATTCAAGCACGGCAGCGTACATGGAAAGTCATCGCATGGGCTTATATTCTTTGACCTCATGTCCACACATCATTCAGGCCTGTGGACGTAGTCGTACTGCTGGGGAAATAAGGAGTGTAGCAGCAGTAAGATGTTCTCCACGGGTAACCAGCCTCAGTCCTATTTAGGACGCGCCCGACGCTGCCTTTCCTTTCGGAAAGGGGGGGGGTTAGAAAAGGTCGACCCTAAAAATAGTGCACCCCACTCTCACCCTGAGGCTTGCCGCAGTCCCGGCGATTGTATAACGCGGTCGAAACCATCCTGCCACTCCATAAGCTGACCGTCAGCAAAACTGGACCTCTACTGGTACACCTGTGACGACAGTATCAGCAGAGGACACCTCTAGTTGTCACACTGACCGCCAGTCTAACTGGAAACCTGCTAATGTTGCCGTGCTGACGACATTGGCCGAAGTAAGTCATCGCACACCTGTTGTCCCAGAGAAACGCTCTTCATCAGATTTGACCGTTTCTCCTCTCCTCAACTTAAAAAGCTTCGCAGACAAAAAGAAAAATTATATAAAATGAAGGATAATGCTGGTTTGGAAAGAATTAACATCCTAATAAAGTCCGAAATGCACAGATTGAATTCAATTTACAACCAAAAGTTTATATCCTGTAAAAATGCGTCTAACATATGGAAACGTTTCAAAGAAATTACTGGTGGTAAGCAGATGAACAGTATTCCTTTTTCCCTTGATGTTTCCAAACTAAACAAGTCCTTCATACATTCTCCCACGAATGCCAAACTTTCTAGTGTTACGAGTATTAATGAAACCTGCTTCCCTGGATTTACTACAAATGATGTTCTAAAATGTCTCCAGTCTATGAACCCTTCTTGTAGCCTGGGTCCAGATGGTTTGCCTAGTGTTATTCTTGTAAATTGTGCAGATATCCTGTATTTTTATTTAAACGCAGAAAAACTTGGTACAATATGGCATCAAGAAATATGCGCCACACAATATTGTGTGAGGGCTGAGATACTGCCCGGGCACCCAGACCGAAGCAGGTGGTTTTCCTAAGGGACCACCCCCCGAGCCTTTGACTTGGAGTCTAATCCGCAAGGCAGCGGAGCAGCGTCAGGAGCTGCATTCCCATGGTTGCCGGTGACCCATGTGGGTTCATACGCCATTTGATCCGATAGAATTCTGGAGCCCATGTACCCCATGGTAACTGCTTTTAGTCTAACCGCTATCCAAACAACCTTCCTGACATGGTAGGACGTGCAGGGACATGAGTCCCAGCCAGTTTAGCTTGTTGGGTCACTGAGGCATTCAAGCCCGACCACCACGGCAAGGTAGCAGTTATCGGTCGGGCTATCCTGTCATGGACATATTTAACGAATCTTTTTCCAAAAATGTCGTGCCAGCCGTTCGGAAGGACATTAAAATTGTACCTATTCCTAAGTCGTCTACTGCGACATGTTTTAAATTCAGACCCATTGCTATTACTTCCCCTTTTCTAAAAGCTATGGAAAAGTTGCTCTTACTTAATCTTCAACCTTCACTTAAAGCCTTTAACGATCCCAAACAATTCGCCTACAAACACAGTAGAAGTACTTTGGACGCAGCTGCAGTCCTGTATCATAACATTGTCTCCAGCTTAGACAAGGGGGCTAAATTTGTTCGCTGCACCTTTCTAGATTATACATCTGCTTTCGACTCAGTACCTAGGGACATTTTACTAAACAAGCTTGCTGAAACTCAAACTGACTGTTGGGTTGTCAAATGGCTCCATTTTTATTTCTCAAGAAGAAAGCAATACACTGTATGTCAGGGAAAGTCGTCCACTTCATTGCTTACTGAGGCTGGTGTCCCTCAAGGCGCTGTCCTTTCTCCTTTTCTGTTTTCTTTCTTCTTGCATGACTTGCCTCACTCCGATGAAATGAACTTTGTTAAGTATGCCGAAGATCTAACTATTTCAATGTCTGTTAACTCTCAGCTTGACTGTATTAAGATTAACAACTTTCTATCAGAAATTAGCAAATGGTCTTCGTCTAACGGCCTTAAACTTAATCCTTCCAAATGTCAGACTGTTAATTTCAGTTTCCGATGTAAACGAAAGTTAAATGAAGCCGTTGGTTCCTA